GGAAAATGACCCCTAGGATTCCATCAAGTCAGAGCCGACACTGTAAACAGCAACTGGTGAACAAGTTACGCAGAAAAACTCTCTCCATTTCCGTCTCCTTGAAGTTCAGCGGGCAGCCCACTGCAGTTAAGCACAGCCATTACAGGGAGCGAAGAAATAGCTGCAGGGCGGCAGATAACAGCGCAGGGAGAGGTCANCAACCGTGATGGGAGAAAACCCCATTACAGGGAGCGAAGAAATAGCTGCAGGGCGGCAGATAACAGCGCAGGGAGAGGTCAAAAGAGGCGCAGAGAAATCCCGGAGGGTCAGGGGTGAAAGCTTGGGCTCCATTTGGGTGACTGTTACCCATCCTAGTCAATTATGGGTGACACAGCTTAACCGTTCCCTTTACTTAAATTTACACTGCAGGATTTAAATACACGCACGGGGCATTTCCATGCTACAGGAAACGCTAATTGATTCCTGATGAGGCTTTGGGCGTAATGTGCTTTGCTCACTGTCAACAGTTTACAAAATATGTCTGCCTGGTGGTGGGTCTACCAGGTTGATTGATTCGAATTTAAAGCTTCAAACATACTGCAAAACAGAGATGTCACAGGATACATGTATTATTACTTCTAGTGACACTGCACAATTATTAATCTCATCTGGCTTGAATCACGCCTTTGCATGATACCATGCCCACTACAAATACAAAGTCTGGCTGTCCTGAACTTGGACAAAATTTCCCTTCATTTACAGATAATCTGTAAATGCTATTTTGTTCACACATGTACACAAGGCTTCTCGATCGATCTGGGTTGTACACTTTTTTGAAGACACATACTGTGTTCTGTCTTACTGCACACTCAACAAAAGTGGCATATTGTCTGATAAGAACAGCAGCCTCCAATAATAATGTACACATTGATTAGTAGTTTGCAAAGGAACCAGCACTAATACATGCACAAATCATGCATGGTTTGCATGAAATCAGTACTCCGTACAGCTGCTCATCTCTTTACAAGTCTTTTTGTTTAAGGTCACTGTTATTCCACCTCAGTTTACCACACAGCCTTCCTGGAAGTGCTTCTTCAGGTGAATCTAACTGATGCACAAACACTTCCTTCACTCAAGGTGCAGAAATGACGCTGGGGATTCAAACTCATTACCTTTACACAGAAGGGAAGGCAGTGCCACAGCCTCAGTCCACACCACTGACCCGAGCTAGCTGGACAATCACGGCTCAAACAAATAGTTACAGGGGGGATGGAGACAACTGGAATTACAGGGGGTCACAAAGCTAGTCCCATGTGAAACACGCCCGGCCATGTGGACCATGTAGACAATGGGTTAAATAAGCATTATGACATCTGAAAAGCATCCTTGATTTATATCAACAAATAATAACACAAAGAAGGGGCAGCCCTAATGATAGCACGGCCTGCCTCTAAGTACCACCTTACTGGAATACTCCTTTGTTCACAGGGAACACTTACTCAGAAAGTATATTTTTTCTTCTCTGTATTTACTTTAAGGAATGCAAGTGGCTTGAGTCGAGTTTGCGATGGCTGCCTGCATCGCCCTTGGTGCAGGCAATTTCTGATTTATGAGCTCAGAGCTGATTATGTAACCTCTGGTCCACCCCCCACCCCCAACAAATGTTGGACCACTGCTGATCGCTATACCCTATCCAGAGATCAAGAGAGAATAAGGGATTATGGATAAAGATTTGATGGTGACATGAAAGAAAACTAAGCATTCAAACATTTTTACAGATTTTCATCACCTAAGTGATTCCATTCCTCATTACCACAGATGGTCAAAAACGTTCAAGTTTGTCTTTAAGCCGACAGGCCCATCGCCCAGCTAAAATCGCATAAAATCAAGCCTCGAACTAATTCTCCTAAATCTGACAGCTGAACTCTAATTCCCACATATCCCTAATTGTCCTGCTTCTCAATTATTCATGTCCCCTCCAATATGTCACCTCATCCCTGAGTCGGAGACTGAGAATCTCCTTAATTACTGTTCAGCCACTCCCATGGCCACGATGCCATCAAACATACAGGAAAATACTGCTTCGCCCGACTCAGCCCAGGCTCCAGCGTCTCACGTCTCCGTGTTCCTGTTCGTAAAAGGTGCTCGACACCTGCCCATGGAGATGTGCCCGTGAACGTGCGGCCTAGCGCTTGACCTGACAGCCTCCAGCACTGGAGCTCGTCACATTTTCTGTGTTATCACTTAGGCCCGGACCCAGCACTCCTAATCCGTGTGCTGTGAAATTCAGAAGCTGCTTAACTTTGTAGATATAAGTGACAGAGCAGAATAGTACCACTTCTAAGAATTAATCCTAATTTGCACCACCTTGGACCATTATATGTTTGAGCACTGCCATAAAGGGGCCAGTGTGGTGCATTCTCTTACTTTTTGAGGAACAGTAGCCCTTTTCTATGGAATAAGAATTCACAATCCTCTTGTTTCCCTTTTTATCTTTTCTGCCAGAAATCTTAGAGCTCCATTAAATTCTCAGTCTCAGAAAACATGCTGGGCTGCGTAAGCGGGATCCCTTGCCACACTCCCCTTCTGTGGTCTCCATTTTCTGTTTGTATTTTGTCAGCCTTGTTGTAAAACAATCTTTTACATCATAAGCCACTTCACGTGCTTTGAAAAGCTAAGTTATTAACATTATTTTTAAAAGTAGCCCTATCCAATGAGCAACACCCAAAAAAGTCCAAATCTCAAAATCCACATCTCGGATAGTATCATGTATGAAATAAACTGATCAACTCAGAAAAAAGAGAGAAAATAGTGAATGCACAAGTTTTAAATTCAATGCAATAATTTAGATTATAGAAATTATTTATGTGGGCATTTAGATGTTGGCCATGTCCAAGTGTAAGGCGCTATATGCATGCTCTGTAATAGAGAGACTTACAAGACTTAAATTCTAGTAACAGAATTGGTTAAATAACCATAATTAGAAATATCTCACAAATCAAAGTTTAAAATGTAGAAGGTAAGCAGAAAATGGTTTAGTGGGTCCAGTTAAGTTATTGTATAATAATCTTATCTATTATAAGTGTTTCCCCCCATCTTCTGCTCATTTACATTAGTTGTCTGGCTGCCACTGGACTTGAACTTCTCAGTTTCAATGAAGCTTTACATAAGAAAGCATTATCCTGGGGGCAAAGACTCTTCACCAGAGCAGGATGCAAAACCAAGCACTGTTTGCTTCCCATGTAATTATCTTCTCTCTCACACTGTGATGAAGACTTGGCTCTTGTGCGACTCAGATCTGTATGGACTGCCATTTGATTTATAGCAGATGACCTGGCATCCTATTGAACATAATTTACTGTGCCATGTGCCTCATGCCCTGTAAATCAATAGCTGGAATATAGAGGCATCTTAATTAGACAGTACAAGGGTAGCGAGATCTGCCTCCTCCTTTCCTTCATCATTAAAATGGCAAGCATTACACAGCAGTGCTTGTTTTAAAGTCGCTTTGGAGTGGGGATCTATTAGTGCACGTTGGGAGTTATAAAGCAAGAGTTGCCATCAACGGAATGAAACATGGAGCACAAGGTTGTATGAGTCATAGCCTGCGAGGAGTAGGACATGAACCTGTTAAAATATTGATTGGTGCATTTCTACAGCACCTGTGTATTATCATAGGCTTGACGAGTTGAACAGGGTGTTAATTTAGGACTGAACACAGAGGAGTCATCCATCCTTCCTACCCTGTTCCTCGGAGAAGCCTCTAAGCCAGTGCTGCACACTAGTGGTATTAGCCCAATGAGGAATGATCTGAAGTCTCTTTTTGCAGCACATCTGAAAATGAAGAATTATTATAAAACCTCATAATGAGGAAGCTATATTATCCATCACCGATCACAGCGATTTTCAACCTTCTTCACATCCTAGCACCCATAAACGCATCACTAAAATTCTGCGGCACACCAAAAAAATGTATTTTTTTGCCGATCTGACAAAAAATAGGTATGATTTTGATTCATTCACACCAAACGGCTATTGTTGTGTTGGCTGCTGTCATTTTTATACTTGACAATCTAAGGGAAAAGAGGCCAGTGCCCCTGACTAAATAGGCAGCGATTGAATGTTTTAAAAATTCTTGTGGCACACGGGTTGAAAATCGCTGACCAGTCATATCCAAATCCCAATGGTAAATTAAGGATAAGATCCACAGAGTTTGCTCATGAAAATTTAAGGGCAACTTCTCAAACTTGATTATGCCTGGGAGAACCTCAGAGGATGGAAAAACTAAAATTATTTTCTTGGGTTTGCAAATGGTGAAGCAAAATACAGAAATGAAAGTAAATTGTCCCTCACAGGGTGCCCATATCCGGTCCCAGGACTGTAATTGCACAAGTTCGTGTTTTATCCATGGAATTGAATAGATTTTAAATAACAAGTTGAACTTTCACCTGGGCCTGTATTAACTGTAATTGAAGACTAACAGATCCTGACTGTGCTGGAATTAAATCTAAGAAGAGCTACTTTTCCAGAATCCTCCTTTCAAATTCAAGTTATATCTCCTTAAAGGAAAGGAGCTCATTGATTTTTATTTTTTTACTACTCCTAAATGTTTCCTCTAAATCATAAGTAAGATCTCACTGGATGATTAGATTCACACTCTCTCTCTACCTTAAAATAGGCTCATGATGACCAGAGAAGATCCATCCTCCTGGCTGGCCTTTCACGGGACATGCCAAGAGGCCACACCACCACCACACGGTGCTGTAAGACGCCTTGCAAAGCCGCTGGGGGGGGAACACAACCATGCTCAGCAGAGCCAAGGCCACGTAAGGCGTGAATGAAGTTTCGGTTGCAGTGAAGGGCCAAACGCAACAGGGGGACTTGGCCGGAAGACAAGGTGGGAACCGTTGGGGAACTGGCCAGCCTGATGCAACCAGAGCCTGCCCAGGAAATTCCAGCGCAGGGGTTACCGGTGCCGGGAGACCGCACCTCCGAAGCAGCAGCTCAGCCTGTAACCGTACCTGGAGAACTGCTGCTGCAGGCCGCGCATCTGAATCCGGCTGCGTTCAGACTCCAGCGTCACCTCCTGCAACCGCCTCTCGCTCTGAAGGCGTAAGTGTCTCTCCTCTTCCAACTCATGGATCAGCTTCTCATGCTACAAGAGGCACAAAGCAAAAGACTTTTAAGAAGGTGTTTCTTAAATATTATGACAAAAATAATTAGTAATAGCTGTCGGTACTAAGTACTAACTTGGATTTTATATATACATTAATTAATTTCGTTATAACCCATGAAGTAGGTTGTATCATTAATCTCTTATCACGGACAAGGAAACCAAGGATCAGAAACATCTAAGTAATTTGTCATAAAAGCCAGAAAATAACAGGTTTTCAATCCTGGCTGATTTGACTCTAATGCTTAAATAATTTCCACTGAACCAGGTGGCTTCCTGTGCAGATATGAAGATCTATGACCCAATAATACTATCAAATGCATAATAATTCAGGTAATAATGACTGAGATGTTAGTGCCGTTCAGAACTATTTCATCTCTTCAATCTTTGGTATATGCTTTAAAGGAAACATTACTGTGTTTTATAGAAGGGACAAGAATTTCAAGTTGATTAGACCATGAAGCTTATGAAAGAAAATAGGTTAAAGAATATTTTTACTTTGTCCAACTAGGTTTTCACAGGTAAAACTAGGCTAAACCACCCGCTATATTTACAATCCCAGAAAACCAGCTCATCTCATAAATGGGCATCAAAAATTAAAAGAGGGGTGGATGGCCCCGAATAGATGGTCAGCAAAAATTCATTCCTGGAACTGGTAAAAAGCACACAAGATCAGATGCTCCTCACAGTTCTGACTAAACCATGCTAACGTTGTTTTCGTTTTTCTTTTGTTGCTATTACTGATTTTTTTTTTTTTGCAGGTCATGCTGTTATTGTTGGCACTAAATTATGCACTTTGCATATAGAATATATATTCTTTGATGAAAACTAAAAACTCAATGCCTGATTATGGGGACCTAAATTCTTAGAAAAGAAGGGAAGCAGAGACCTCAGTCTCCAAATACATTAGACACTATGACTTTGTACCACAAATCACCCAGGATGAAATAGGATTCATTGGATGGGACGTATTCACAGGAAGTAATAGCAAAGACTGACTTTCTCCAGCTCTCACTCATGTGAAAAAAGTTCTCCTGAGGAGCATGAAGAACACATTAGGTCATAATCTAGAAATGAAGGTACTCTAGCTATACTTACACCCCCACCCGCTGCCTCAGAACTTCTGACCATGCTTTTCCTCCTGAGGCCCTCTGAGGTCGGCATCTCTATTCAAAGCCCAGGGTTCCTTCCAGGCTCATCTTCAAGCCATCACCTCCTCTAAAACGTTTCCCTTATCACTTCACTGTTCTTTCCCATCGGAGTTTCAACAGCACTTACTATCCTTTAGGTCTTTACTTATTTTTTATATTGTTATTATAATTCTCCAACTAGATGAGCACTTGCTTGGGATTAGGACTATGTCTACTGTGCATATGTATTTTTATTTAGCATGTTACCCAATGCATAGTAGCAGAGAAAATATACGCTTATTGACTATGGAGCTGGCCTTCTGCTAAGTCAGGGCTGTAACTTCTATACCTTAACTCTTCAATGGTCCATTTCTAACTCCCACAATCAGTTACTTCATTGGAAAAAGTAAAGTCAAAATCAAATCTATATTCCATCCCTCTCCAGCACCTTTGGGAAGGAAGGAAAACATGGGAATGGAAGAGAAATGTATTAATTAATGTATTTAACCACAATAAAAATAAATTACAATATAAATGCTTTACTCAATTATTGTACACAATCAACATTAATCTCTGTATAGACTCACCGGACTAGTACAAAAATGAATAAGTCACCTGCATTATAGAATCTGGAAAATTGTGCTTTGATTCCAGAAACAGGCAATGAAAATGGTGTGTGTTAAATTGTTCAAAAACATATCCTATGAATGACGTGAAGGTCTGCAGAGAAAAGGCATCTTCCTTCCTTCAAAAGTAAGGAATCTTACAAAGACTCAATCACTGCTATATTCAGGATCCCCCAAGATCTATTAGAGGAGGTTTGCCATATGGATAATCATTCTATTCAATTTGTTAATGTCTTTTCAAATGATACCCTTACAACTCAGAAAATGTTCTAGGAAATTATAAGACTAATGAAGGCAAAAGTTGTTTACTAAATAAAATCTATTTTCTTCAAATGGTATATGTTTCAGTTAAACCATCAAAGCTTTACAATAAGCCACACCGACTTTCCAAATCTGGAAAAAATTCTTACCTAAATTATAAAACATGGCAAACAGTAGCAAGAGAGTATATCAATGGTTTGGCCAGAATTTATTTATTTATTTACTTTTTTTGTATTAGCAGTATCCTGGGTGTAAACTAACTTATCCTCAAAGCAATGTTGGTTTTCCCCACAGGCCTGCTCTGCATCTTTTACAGCAGGAAAATTGAGGGTAGTGAGAGATGGAAAACGGTTGGATGTTATTTATACGGTGCCACTAGGTACTGAAGAGCAGTAAGTAAAGACATTGTCACTGAAATCTGGGTTACCAAATTTCTGTGGCAACGTCACCCTTTCCATTGATCCCTGGGCTGGGCTGGCTTTAAGGAGCTATCTTAAGAGAGCTCTAAGAGTGGTTTTCAAAACTGACTGGGCCTCACGTTTGTATTTCTCCCCATTTCATTGAGCAAGGTCATGTCTTCTATTTCTCCTCCTCGGCTTTCCTCACCATCACACCTAACCTGCTACCCCAGGGACACAAACACTGGCCCTTGGGCTGAGCCTAAGAAGGGACATTACACACGTGTCCCTCTCCCCCTCCTTCCTCTTCGTGACGTGGGCTCGGCTCACTCCCACTCGAAAGGAAGGTTTGCCTATTTTTCTCAAAAGCTGACTCCAAGTAGGTGAGCGTTCACCCCTGTTTTCTTCTATAACTTTTCTCTCTAACTCGGACATAAGTTCTATAAGAAAAATCTTGCATTTGGAGGGCACGTTACATTTTGCAAAATGCCCTCACCTTCCTTGCTGTATCCAGTCCGCAGAATAACTCAGCAAAGTCAGTTGTCATCAACTGCATTGAAAGATTTTAAAAAATGGGATCAAGAGAGGCAAGGAGCTTGCCGAGGTTAGAAATGACAGCTCTCGGACCAGAACCAAGTTTTTCAGACCGTAAGTCCCTAGTTTTCCCCCTACTACGGTCAACACTTATTTTAAAGGTGCAAATTTATTCCAATGCAGTTGATATATTGGGAACATTTGAGCTTGACACAAATCTCACATATGCTTATGCCCAGTTTTATTCATGAGAAACATGAGTCAATGCAGAAAACTGCATCCCGCTGAACCTAGCAGGGAAATACACAAATCACACACATCACACACATCTCAGAGACTGACTGGCGTCCTCAGTCCTGCCAGCACGTGGTGGGCATGGCCATCCGCAGATGGAGGTGCCACCTGCCCTCCAGTCACAGTCTTCCTTCTGCCGCTTCACAGAAACTCAGGCTGCCAGTGAGCGAGTCCACAAAACACTAAATGTCTTTTTTGGGGGGCAGTGCCATATTCAGTGTATTATTTATGTATTTCTTACTCATTTAACATACAAAATTTAGCCGCCCTTTTCATTAGATTCCTATCTTTTTTAATGTGTCACTGACAAATTTTCATTTCCCCAACAAGGCCTCTGCAGTGATCTTTAGGAACGCATCTGTCACCTTATAGCAGAGCTGACTACATCATGCTGGAGAGAAAGAAATCTGGAGCAAATTGACATTATTCTAATTTAACAGAAAGCTCTGCCTAGCAACGGAGCTATGTACACACCCACAGGGATTTAATCCATTTGCTCAGACTACAACTGTTTACTGAGCTGCTACTATGTGCCCAAAACTGGACCAGCGCAAGAGGCCAGCAATGAGCTCAACAGACGTGGTTTCTGACTGCAGTAGGCCTACATACAAGGGGAGACGGCAGGTGCTAAACAAGCTCACAGAGATAAACGTAGCAGTATAAACTGATAGATAATTAAGGGTTTGCTGAAAGATGACACCAAGAGGAACTGATTTGTTTGGTGGGTTAGAAGGCTTCTCGGAGGAATTAACGTTGAAACTGAGACTCTGTGATGACTGGCGATGCCAGGTAAAGAGAAGGGCCCAGCACCCCAGGCAGGGTGAGCAGCAAGCTGGACGTCTTTAGTCACAGAGGGGAAAAACAAAGAGAAGACCAGTGTGCTGAGAGCTGGTGAGCAAGGGGACAGGCGTGGGATATGACAAAGGTGAGAGCAAGAACCATGGCACAGGCACCATGAAGGCCATATTAAGTATGTGGGGTTGTATCCTGAGTAAAATAGTAACTCCTACCAAGGTTTAATCAAGTGAGAGACAGGATCTGATGAAGATTTTGCAAAGATCATCTGATTACTGTGTGGAGAAAGAACTGAATTAAGAAGCCAAATAGGAGAAAGGGAAAATAGTTAGAGAATGGTGAATGCTACCAGCTTCTAGTTTACTCTACTATTTGCTAGTCAAGTGGTTTTGGACAAGCCACTTAACCTAAAACTTAATGTCTAAGCTAGTTTCCTTTGTATTATCAAGGAGAATAAAATTACCCAAAACAATCTCATAGTATCACTGTGAAGAATGACTGAAATAATGCAAAGGAAGCACTGTAAAAACTTTAAAGTCCCATATAAAAATAAGATGTGGCTATCTGGAATTACATAGCATATATTGTCTAATATGGTTTTGCTACTTTTGATCACTTCAATACAAATTTTAGTCTTCATTAGTCCATGTTAAATAAATACTCTAGATATATATTTCTTTTAAAAAGTTCAATATATGTTTTCTTAGTAGATTAAACTTTAATACTGAGGAGAAATACATTTTAAACTATATTTAATGTAAGAACTGAGAGATTAACTTAATCACATATGCTCTAAAATGTATAAAATCCTGTGCTTAGACTTCCACAAGAAACACTACTGTTTAAAATCATGCTAGGTGGTGGGATTAAACAGATGGCTTGGTCTGCGGTGTGCCAAAACTTCAGGGGTTAACATTACAGTATCACTGTGATTTCAAATATAC